CCACTTACTATCTGGGGGACCTTAGCCAAGTTTTACTTCCTGAGCCTCAGTTCTCCATAAAAATAGAGACACCACCACAAAGCTTTTAAGATGCAGTGCTTTAGCGCATAATGACAAACACCATACACTGACTGCTCACTATAACTAAACTGAATTGTAGGAAGTTAAATAGCTGCAAAACTTTGTTGCTTGGGCTTCCCTGGTGGCGCAGTGGTTGAGAGTCCGCCTGCCGATGTAGGGGACACGGGTTCGTGCCCCGGTCCGGGAAAATCCCACAGGCTGCGGAGCGGCTGGGCCCGTGAGCCATGGCCGCTGAGCCTGCGCGTCCGGAGCCTGTGCTCCGCAACGGGAGAGGCCACAGCAGTGAGAGGCCCAAGTGCCGCTAAAAGAACAACAACAACAACAACAAAAAAAAAACTTTGTTGCTGTACTTAATACTGTAGTCTTCAGAAGAGTTATCCCTATAGACTAGTCTTTATTTCAATAAAACTGTACTAATAAAATCTTTTTTTTTTTTTTTTTTTTTTGGTTCGGGGGCTTTTTATTTTTTTGGCCTCTCCCTTTGGGGAGCACAGGCTCCGGACGCGCAGGCTCAGTGGCCATGGCTCACGGGCCCAGCCGCTCCGCGGCCTATGGGATCTTCCCGGACCGGGGCACAAACCCGTGTCCCCTGCAACGGCAGGTGGACTCTCAACCACTGCACCACCAGAGAAGCCCAATAAAATCTTTTATATACACATCTTTGTATGAGCGAAACTCTGCTTTTCCTTTTGTGAATTTTTTGGGCACTCCAAAGGCTAGAAATAGTTTTATTATTTTAAATGGTAATATTATGTTCATAATTTTGTCTTAAAGAAACCAGTTAAAAAAAAAATCTTCTCTAGTCCTGTGTTTTGTTTACTGAGTTAGCCTGTAAATTCAAGCCTATCAAATGACTTAATGATTAAGCAGGACTTCCCTGGTGGCACAGTGGTTAAGAATCCGCCTGCCAATGCAGGGGACACGGGTTTGAGCCCTGGTCCGGGAAGATCCCACATGCCGCAGAGCAACTAAGCCTGTGCGCCACAACTACTGAGCCTGTGTTCTAGAGCCTGTGAGCCACAACTACTGAGCCCACATGCCACAACTACTGAAGCCTGAACGCCTAGAGCCCATGCTCCGCATGCGGTGAAAGGCCACCGCAATGAGAAGCCTGCACACCATAATGAAGAGTAGCTCCCGCTCGCCTCAACTAGAGAAAGCCCGCGTGCAGCAACAAAGACCCAACGCAGACATAAATAAATAAATAAATTTAGTTTTTAAAAAAATTCTTATTTCTATCAAATCTGTTTAGGTATGGCCTAAATGATTTCAGGTCTAGACTTTAGGGACCAGCCAACGAGTAATCTTTAAAGTATAGCCCTCTTTTTTCCTTGGGAAAACAGTTTTAAAATGTCACCCACTGAAAAAAGGTGAATGACCACAAATACTAAAATGCCATAATATTTTAATAAGGGAAAATTCCAAAATACAGCTTTGTTTAAAAGTAGACAATCATGAAACTTTGTGTAACAGGCAAATTGAACATTTCTACAAAGACATTATTGTGTCAGATGAGAACACAGCCAGATACTTATTTCCAACAGCTGAGAGACTGGGTGCTGCAGTAAGCCATCTGATCAATTAAAAGTTATTACAGACTCTCAAATAAGTAGAATATACTCTAAACCTGTGTTGTTCAATAGAGTAGCCACCAGCTACATGTAGCTACTGAGCAGTTGAAATGTCCTAATCTGAAATGAGGTGTGCTATATATGTAAAACTTTACTGGATTCACACTGGCTTTCAATGACTTAGTACCAAAAAAAAGTAAAATACCCATTAGTAAATTTTTCATACTGATTACATGTTAAAATGATAATATTTTTGATATACTGAGTTAATAAAAGATACTATTAAAAATAATACCAAGGGCTTCCCTGGTGGCGCAGCGGTTGAGAGTCCGCCTGCCGATGCAGGGGACGCGGGTTCGTGCCCCGGTCTGGGAAGATCCCACATGCCGCGGAGCGGCTGGGCCCGTGAGCCATGGCCGCTGAGCCTGCGCGTCCGGAGCCTGTGCTCCGCAACGGGAGAGGCCTCAGCAGTGAGAGGCCCGCGTACCGCAAATAATAATAATAATAATACCGATTACTAGAAAAACTTAAGTCCCATTTGTGTCACTCATTACATTCCTATTGGGTAGTGCTACTCTATACAAACTATGCAAAATGCGATCTAACCCTCCTTTGATGATTCATGACGATGATGATGAACACCAAATATATAATAAAGAAAAAAATCTCATTTATACCTTGGATACATAGTTTAAGATAGTATCAAGTAAGAATGGCGTGTTCTTAAAACTTCTATTAAATTTACAACCAACGCCAACTACATTTATAGAGGAAGGACTCAATCCTAAAAGTCGTACTTTTAGGGAACAAGAAGGAAATACAAAGTAAAGACCACAAAAGAGGGACTAAGAGAAATACCATCTGTTTCTAGAAGGCATTTAAAAATAAAAGCAGTGTGTTTTAAATAGTAGGCCTGTTTTTTAAAAACAACATTTGATTATTATGAGTATCATAAAGAAATTTCCCAATTGCCAGCTAAGCAAACGTCGTAAAAAGGAAACCTGGTAAGGTTCAGACTAGAAATTCTAACTATGTGAGGAATAGAAGTAAAATGTCTGAGTGTACCATATGGAAAATGTAAGCCAAATTTCTTAACAGGGTATTTAAAATGAAACATCATACAATGATGAAACCAGTCAAAATTTTATAGATATCCTTCAATATTACTATGGCATCAACTGTTACAGGATTTAACTAAAAGTGGTTTCAAAATTCCAAAACACCATAGTGCCTTTTCCAAATCTAGCCAGTGAGAAATAGGGAGGGAACTGTTTCCAAATGCCTTATCTTGCAGATGTTAAAATTAGAAATCGACAATTCAGAGCCATATTAACCATAAAAAATATTTGCAGCGCATTCTGTTTGACAAGCACTATTGGACACATCATCCTTTTTGATCCTCAGGACAGCCCTCAGATATTGGGATGTTTTTATCCCTGCTTTAGAGGTAATTCCAGGCTTGGAGACCTTGACTTGTTCAAGGTCACATTGCTAAAAAGTAGCAGAACCAGTACTTGATTCTGGTTCTTCTGAGGCTCATCCAGTTCTCCTTCCATTACAAGACAATCACTCATTTAAAACCAAACGTTTAAAAATACAACAAGCTCTGATGCCAAAGAGGGATCTAAGGATCAACTAGGTCAAACCTTAAGACTCTGCAAACACGGTGTGTTGGAATCAGTTCAAAAAGGGGAGAAGAGATTATCAAGAGACAGGAAATGACTTGAAAGATCAGGGAAAAAAAATTCTGATCTAAATGTCCTTGGGTGCAGGCATAGCAGAATAACAGTATTCAAGCAGAAAATGCAGAGAAACGGTACTTTCCTTCTGAAATGTGATTTTCAATGTAGAAATTGTAGGCTAAAAGAACGATTTTGTTGTTACTTTACTATAAATGTGTTTGAGAATTTTACTTAATATACAGGCACTCAGAAAACCAATACATCCAACAGGGTACCACCAGCCCTTCATTTTTTTCACAAGTCATGACATTTACTTCACAAAAAGCCAGATGAAAAAATTATAATTCAGCACCCACTGCTATTTAGATTACAGGTAAAGGAAAAGGTCAGGTAGGAGAATGGCAAATTTAATGAGCACTGTCTTCTTCCTAGTACAACGCATCCTTGAGGGCAGGACAAAGGCGGCACCACCACAAACGAACCTAGTTCAACCTTCAAAGCACACTGACAACAGGCCAGTTAACGCAAAATGTACACATCTCGAAGGCACGGTGAAAGGGAATTCCTAAAACGTCTCTCTAAATCCATTCCTAAGTAAGGAATGTAAAGTAAATTCCTAAATATAATACAACAGGATTCCAGAATCAGGAAAGGGCTACGGAGAAATGTGGGTTTCTAGCGTGGGAACACCACACGGGGGTGCCCACACTGCCGACACCAAATACGACACCGGCCCATTTCAGGCGGGGGGCAGAGGCGCCTCGAGACCCCGAAACGGGGCGAGCGCCAAACGACACCCCTGCCTCCCCGTCCGACCCCCCGCCGGGACGCACGGGGAAAACCGACCGGCTCCAATTTCACCTCCGGCTTCCCCTCCCGGGCAGTGCGGCCGGGGAGGCTCGGCAGGAAGGGCCGCACCGCGGCCAAGGGAGGGGGCGCCGGCCCGGGACCCCCGCCCGGACCTACCCCCGACCACGCCGGCCCCCGCACCCGGACCCCGAAGCGACCCCCGGACCAAGGACCCCCGGACGCCGGCTCAGCCCTCGCTGACAGCCGGCGCCGCCCCACCTGCCCGCCCGGGGGGCGCCGGGGCCGGGCGCGCCCGCCAGGCCACTTCCTTCCCCGCCCGCCCGGCCCGCCGGGCTCGCGCGGGCACCGAGGGCCGGGAGCCGCGGGAGGAAGGAGGCTTGGCCAGCCGCCCGCGGAGGAAACCGCCGCCGCCCGCACCCACCGGCATCATCGCGGCGCGGGTCCGCGGCGCCCTCCGCCGCCTGACAGGACGCTCGGCGTCGCGCCGCGCCGCGCCCGCCGCTCCGGCCGCCTTCACAGGCCGCGCGCCCGCCGCCGCGCTCTCGGGCCCTCACGGCGAGGCGGCGGCTGCAGCGGGCTGCGGAGCCTGGCCGGCCCTGTCGTGGCCGCCGGCTCGCTGCGTCGCTGTCTCAGGACCGGTCGTCGTCGCCACCACCTCCGCCCGACCGCCTCCCGCCGCCAGCCCGCGGACTCCCCTCAGCCCCCGCAGGCCCTGCCCCCAGCGCGTCGCCCCACACGGGGCCAGCCGCCCCCTCCGATTGGCCCGACTGTGCTGGGGGCGGGTCCGGGGGTGGGGCATCTCTGCCCCGCCCGCCCAACCTCGCTCCCGGCCGCGGCCAGGTACGAGCGCGTCCGCGCTCCCGCGGGCGGGGGAGGGGCGGGAGTGCTGCGGAAGCTGGACCGCTGCCCCGCCCGGCGTGACGGCCTGTGGGCTCCAGGCCGTGCGGGGCCAAGATCCCGGACCCTCGGAGACGTCGGGCATGGGAAAACCGAGGTCCAAAGAAGGAAGGGTCCGGCCGGGGCACCGCAGCGGGTCACGGTAGGGCCGAGACTCGAACCCCAACTCAGGGAGGCCAGAGGGGGCGGGGCGCATCCCGTGGCGACGGCGCGCGCGCCCGCCTTTGACCGCGTCCTGACCCCCGGCTCCCGGCGCCCGGTGGGACTGCAGGTCAGGGGCCGAATTGGAAGGGTGTAGGTGCGCCCCAAACCATGCTAGTGACCCGGCTCCGCATTGCTCAAGATGAACCCACGAACCGGCGTGGCGCTCGGTCCCTGGGCACCTGTTCCCCGACACCACTACCTCCCCGCGTGTTCTGCGACTCCCGCTGCCCTTTCCCTACGGCCAGCCGACCTTCCCGGGCACGTGACCGCTCTTCAGCCTTGGCCCTTCACACAGGCGATACCCCCGGCCTAGAATGCCTGTGCGCACCTGTACCAGCATCCTTCGATGCTCAGACGTCTCCGGGCAGCGCCCAGTCCGTCTCTCCAGGGTCCGGGTCTCTCTTTACAGCCCTCTCTCCCGTGACGCCACCCACTCAGGTCTGAGCGCCCGAGTAACAGAGGCCAGGGCAGGGGCTGAGCAGACTCTCAGTGAAGGCCGGCCAATGGGCAGGCATCCTTTCTGTGCCCTCCACACTGTACCACTCACTGGAACCCTGAGAGAGATGAGATGGTAACTGATGCACTCCACAGGCAGCTCTAAAACTTCCTTGAGCATCCGGAGCATAGGGGTCTGTTTATGGCCCCAAACCCACCTTGGGAAAGGCTCAGCTACTTAGAGATGACAGCAGGTGGTGGTCAGAGTCCATCCCTAGCCTGTCTGCTCCTTTGAGGGGCCTGAGGCTGCTGGGTGGGGCTGAGGGACAAAGAGGCCAGAGAGCAACACCATACTCCTCTTGGCCAAGGGGGTTAGTGGTTGAGAGTGTAGGACTTTCCAGTTAGACAGACACTGCCTCGGCCACACCCTCACAGTATGATCTTAGACAAGCTACATCTTCTCTCTGTATCTCAATTTGCCCATCTCTGTAATGGGAAATTACAGGAATCATAACACCTGCCTCATATTTAGGGAGATTTAGCAGTTTGTGGCCCATGGGAGCTGCTCCATAAATAGTAGTTTTCTGTAGTTACGCTATCATTAGGAAGCAGGCTTAGTATATACATGTATCCCAGGTAATCCCCTGAGAGAGGGATTATGCAGGGATTTTAAAATTTATACACACTGGGCCTCGATGGCTAATGACACATCTCTCGTGGGAGCAGGGTTTGGAGAGAAGAGGAAGCTCTAGGTAACGGGAGATCCTAGGTTGAAAGTCAGAGACCTGGGTTCCAATTCCAGCTCTACTTCTGACTCCCTGTGTGGCCCTAAGCAACTTGCATCTCTTCTCTGGGTGTCAGTTTCCCCATCTCTAACCAGGAAGGGGTTAGATTCCGTGATCTCTGAGGGTCTTTCAGCCCTGACATGCTATGGTCACGAGTCGTGAAGGAGTGGGTACCGGCCCACTAAGCCAGGCAAGGGACAGGCTTGGCCAGGGCACGGCAGAGAAGCGCCACCTGGGATGAGGTGGTCAAAATGAGCTCACTCTCCTGAGAAGGGGAGGCTTGGCCATTGGATTCCCACTCTTGCCTGTAGGACCTGTGGGCACAGACAGTGGCAGCTGCCCTGCTCTCACACCAAGGTACTCTCTGTCCTCCAGGCAGGCACCTTCTGAAGACAGGCTGGTCACTGGCCCGCCACAGAGGCTCTCCAGCTGCTGCCACTCCTCTCCATCCTGCTGCAAGCTCCAAGCATCAGGCCCCATCACCTGGTACCCAGACCAAGGTCGTACATAATTGGCCTCCCTTCTCTGACCTCCACGCCTGGACCATCCCACACATGGACATAATTAGGTCACACACAAACACCCCCGACCCTGCAAAGCCCTCTGTGTCTCCACATCACCCAGATTAAAGTTCACAAGAGGCCCTTCAGGAGTCACTGTTGATGCTGGGATGTGGTTTTTAGGGTGGTCTAAGAAGATGTCTGGGTTGTTCAGAGAGGAATACTAGCAAAACAGTTCAGCAAAGGAGAGCGAGGCAGGTGGGATAGCTTATGCGTGCTCGGCCAATTCTTGGTAATTGTTGAATCTGTGTGATGGGTACGTGGGATACATTGTCCTTTTCTCTCTACTTTGTATGTTTGAACTATTTTATATTTAAAAAAATGATTACTCTTTAAAGCAAATAAAAAACCCATTTGGGGAGAAAATCAGTATAGATTCATATTTGCATAAAGGAATTCTTGAATGATCAGGAACACTAATAAAGTAATGATTGCAGATGGGAATGGGAACTGGGTGGATTAGGGACAGAAATCAGAGTAAGAATTTTCACTATTACTTTTTTAAAATATTTATTTACTTATTATTTGTTTTATGTTTATTTTGGCTGCGCCTGGTCTTAGTTGTGGCATGCGGGGTCTTTTATTTGAGGCATGCGGACTCCTTGGTTGTGGCTTGCATGTGGAATCTAGTTCCCCAACCAGGGATCGAACCCCGGGCCCCCTGCATTGGGAGCGCGGAGTTTTACCCACTGGATCACCAGGGAAGTCCCAAATTTTCACTATTGCTTTTTTTTTTTTTTTTTTTTTTTTTTGCGGTACGTGGTCCTCTCACTGTTGTGGCCTCTCCCGTTGCGGGGCACAGGCTCCGGACGCGCAGGCTCAGCGGCCATGGCTCACGGGCCCAGCCGCTCCGCGGCATGTGGGATCTTCCCGGACCGGGGCGTGAACCTGTGTCCCCTGCATCGGCAGGCGGACTCTCAACCACTGCGCCACCAGGGAAGCCCCACTATTGCTTTTTAAAAGTAAACTTTATAGCAGTTTTAGATTTACAGAAGACTTGCAAAGATAATACAGAGTTCCCATCTTCCTTCCCCCAGCCTCCACCCTATTTTCCCTACTATTAACATCTTATATTAGTGTGGTACATTCATTAAAACTAATGAACCAATATTGATACATTTTTATTAACTAAGTCCATACTTTATTCATTGGGTAAATTCCCTTAGTTTTACCCAATGTCCTTTGTTCCAGGATCCCATCCAGGACACCACGTTACACTTAGTGATGTCACCTTCGGCTCCTCTTGGCTATGACACTTCCCCAGACCTTCCTTATTTTTTATGACCTTGACAATTAATGAGGAATACTGGTTAGGTACTTTGTAGAATATTTCTCACTTGAGATTTAGCTGCTATTTTCCTCATGATTAGATTGAGTTTATGGGATTTGGGGAGGAATGTCGCAGAGGTAAAATGCCATTTTCATCACATCATATCAAAGGTGCATACTATCAACCTGCCATTTCACTGTTGTGGTTGACCTGATCACCTGGTCACTATTACCTTTCCTGTTTGATTTTTGAACCAGGTGAATAAAGTACTATTTAAAATTTTAAAATTTCAATCTTAAGACCTGTATTAGTTTGCTAGGGCTGCCATAACAAAAGATCACAGCATGAGCGGCTTAAACAACAGAAATTTATTTTCTCACAGTTCTGGAGGCTGGAAGTCGTAGCTCAAGGTGTTGGCAAGGTTGGGTTCTTCTGAGGCCTCTCTCCTTGGCTTGCAGATGGCTGCCCTCTCGCCAGCTCTTCACATGGTCTTTTCTCTTGTGCACGCATCCCTGGTGTCTCACCCTGTTTTTATAAGGATATCAGTCTACTGGATTAGGGCCTATCCATATGGCCTCCATTGAATCTTTTTTTTTTTTTTTTTTTGGCTGCGTTGGGTCTTTGTTGCTGTGCACAGGCTTCTCTAGTTGCGGCGGCGAGCGGGGGCTACTCTCCGTTGCAGTGCGCAGGCTTCTCATTGCGGTGGCTACTCTCCTTGCGGAGTACGGGCTCTAGGCATGCGGACTTCAGTAGTTGTGGCTCACGGACTTTAAAGCACAGGCTCAGTAGTTGTGGCACACGGGCTTAGTTGCTTTGCAGCATGTGGGATCTTCTGGACCAGGGATCGAACCCGTGTCCCCTGCATTGTTGGTAGGTGGATTCTTAACCACTGCGTCACCAGGGAAGCCCTCCATTGAATCTTGATTACCTCTTTAAAGGCCCTATCTCCAAATACAGTCACATTCAGAGGTGTGTTAGGGGTTAAGACTTCAACATATGAATCTTGGGGGGACACAATTCAGTCCCTAACAAGACACTTCATAGCCTGGCCCAGTCTACCTTCTACCTTTTCAGGTTAATCTCCTATGCTCCCAGCACCCCACATCTGGAATTTTTTTTTTTTTTTTTTTTTTTTTTTTTGGCAACTCAGCTTGTGGGATCTTAGTTCCCCAACTAGGGATCGGACTTGGGCCCCGGCAGTGAAAGCGTCGAGTCCTAGCCACTGGACTGCCAGGGAATTCCTGCACATCTGGATCTTATACCCCAGCCATCCAGAGGCTGGGCCCTCCCCTCGTCCAGGACCCTATGCCTACAGAAATGCTTCTGCAATTTCCTCAAGAAGTGCTACCTGCTCCTGTCACAATTCAAATCCTTCCTCTTCTTCAAGGTTTTTCCAGATTCCCCCCAGGAGAACTCACCTCTACCACCTTCCCCCAGACTGCTTAGACCTGGCTCTCTCGTCACATCCTGCTACCTTAGGTCTGGAGACGTACCTATCTCCCCCAGGGGCCAGTGGGCTCATTTAGGTAATAAGTGTTCACTGGCTTTCTCCAGTGTGCCCAGCACGGGTCCAGGCCCCGGCAACACAACCTTGAGTAAGACAAACATGGTCCCTGTTCTCACGGAGCTTATAGTCTGGTCAGGGAGAAGATGATAAACAAGAACGCAAGCAAATAAAATAACTCTTCAAATGCTGGTAAGCATATACAACAAACGCAGTAAACCAGATCAATGTGACAGAGATAACTGCTTTTGCCAGGAGAAGGTGACATTTGAGATGGGACTTGAATACTGAGGAGGCACCTTCTGGGGCTCCTGAGGAGGGGTACGTGAAGGAGGAGGGAGAACAGGTAAGAAAGGAATGAGCTGAGGGCAGCTCTGGGGGCAGCCCTGGGGGCTCAGCAGGCACAGCAGGGGAGAATGGAGGGAGGTGACGTCAGGTTTGGGTTTGTGGGCCAGGAGCCTGCATTTTATTCTGGGCAGGTAGAGAGACCAGATGTGTGTTTTCCAATGCCCAGTGGCCACCATGGGGAGGCTGGCTGGCGTGTGGCAAGAGTGGGGGAAGGAGGCCCCTTAGGGGGACTGAGGTGTAGGTGGTGGATGCAGGGAAGGGGTCCCATTTGGAATGTGCTTTTAAGGGGTGGGGCTTGAGAAGGAAGGACCTGGGACGGCCCCCAGCCTTCTGCCCAGTGCTGGGGGCTGGGGTTTAAGCGAGGCTGTCTGGTGCCCACAGAGCCTCCGGCATACTTAGCAAGCAGGAGCTAGTAGGTCCAGTGCTGACGTCCTGCTTGGCCACGTGGTCCCCGAAGGCCCACATTTCAGGACTCCCCTGCCTCTGACCAGGCTGAACCCGCTCCCCACCCAGCCTTTCATCCAGCACTCCAGGCAGGCGTCAGGCATGGCCCGGCCTCTGCCCACCATCCCTGACTGCTGCCTACCCCATCCCTTTTCTCCCCCTGCCCCACTGCAACAGGAACCACCCTCACCTCTCGTCTCCATTAAACTCTTTTCGGCCAGGGGGGTGTTTCTGATGTGGAAATCATACCGGCCGACTGCCCCAGTGGGACCCTCTCAGTGGCTCCCTTCAGGGGGCAGGGGGTTGTTAAACCCCTTCGGGTTTGGGCCGCCTCTCCCTGAAACAGGAGGGAAGGAGGCAGGGCACAACCTTTGAAAGAATGACATAGCCCGAGGACACGACACAAACTGATTAGAACCAAATGGGTCCAAGATGGTGGGCAAGTCGACTTTTTCCACTAGACCTTGAGCCTCAGTATATGCTCACATCAGCAAGCTAAATGACACGCCCACGGGGGCCATGACGGTTCCAAGACTGAACTGACCAGAAGAATCAAAAAGTGGGCGGTGGTCCAATTCCTGGAAATCCCCGCCCCTTCCTAAAATAGCTGGAATACTCCTCCCACTCATTAGCCTATGAAATTACCCACCACTATAAAAACTGGCGACCCCGTACTCTGGTGCCTTTCTCACTTTCTGAGATGGCCCACACTCTCTGAAGTGTGTTTCTGTCTAAATAAATCCACTTCTTACCTATCACCTTGCCTCTCACTGAATTCTTTCTGCGATGAGATGTCAAGCACCTGAGCTCGATTAAGTCCTGAAACCAGGTGTGTGATCTCAGTTGGAAGACTGCGGGTTTTGGCTGCGTTGGAGTCCTGGGCGCGTGTGTTCGAGTCCCAACCTGAGGTGCATGGTTTCACCCCCCAGGCTCATTTCCCACCTCCACCAGCCCCAGGTGAACTCCTACCCCTCCCACTCCGCCTGAAGGCAGCCCGCCACCCCACAACCCCTGTGTCCCCTTCGTGCGGGGGTGGGGACAGTCTGGACGAAGCCTCGTGTCCCGCCCCCACAGTTCCAAGGGAAGCCTGATTCCACAAACCCTGGCTGCGAACCAATCGTGGTTCCGTTCGGTCCTCAGGGGCATTAAAATAGTAATATTTTTGATCAAGGTGAGAAGAGAACTTGACAGGAACACAGCGATCTGCTTCCCGTGTTTTGCTCTGCTGGGCGGGCCCTGAGGGGGTGTGTCCGCCGCGGGGTCCTCCGCGCCCAGCACCGAGTGGCGCCTAACGCGCACCCCACCGCCGCCTCCACCTCAGGAAACGCACAGCAGACCCCCAGGCAGACGAACCTCAGGGCGGGGGCTCGGCAGCTGGGGAGCTGCGTTCACTCCCACACAGGCCGCCGCTGCTGCCACGGGTGCAGAGGTGCCCGGTCACCGCCCCGGGGTCGGCGGCTCAGCGCTGGGGGAGGGGTCCACATGCCCAGGACGCGGCCAGTGCTCGGTACACAGAAGCCTCTGCTCATCCCCGCGGGGACCTCGTGAGGCAGGTGTTCGCCACTTGTGCAGGGTCACGGGGCGGGGACCTACGGTGGCTGGGGCTCTAACCTGACAGAGTCGGAGTCCGCCCCGCGGCCGCGGGTCCAGGCGCGCTCTTCCAATCGGACGCAGCCTCCGGGGCTCCCGGCGCCGCAGGCTCCGCCCAGGTGGGCGGGGCCTTCTCGCCCGGAGAGGGTCTTCGGGGCGCCTTGGCTAAGCCAGACACACACACGCACACGCACGCACACACACACACACACA